GATCCGGGAGCCTTGAAGTGGGACTGGAAACCACGTCATCTCTCACCTTCCGTGTAAGGATGTGGTTCCTCTTCAGGAGAGAGGACCTAAACGTGCACCTGCCGAGGTGTCAGAGAAGCGGAAGAAAGGCTTAGTGGTGTGGTGAGTAGCTGGACCGAAGCCTGCCTGCTGCTCCATTAACGTGACCAGCAGCTGGGCAAACGCCTGAATGAGTCACAATAGTACTTGGTGTCCCCGCACCTACCTACCAAGCATAAAAACACTACGGTTGCTGCTTAATGGCCTTCTAAATATTGTGCAAAATGTCTCTTGTGGCTGCCCTACATGGAAAACTAGAAGACAGGCAATTCTTGAAAATATAGTTCAGCATAACAGGTTGAATCACTACAAAGCCACTGGACAGGCCAACTATGGAATTACAGAAGAGAGGACATAGGTCTTCAAATATTATTCGTTTGTAATACTTTTCATGACTACATATGTATAAAGTTCTTTAACAATGAAAGTTTTTTTTTCTTATTCAAAAATTCTATTGTATCTGTATAACAATTTCCATGGTTTTAATTACTTGGATGGATCTTGAAATCTCAAAAGATTAATTTGATTATGCTAAAATAATCAAAATCAATCTGAAAAAAATAAGAAATACAGTTCAAATAGCGAAAAATTACTTTTATTTTAAGGCAATATTTTCATCTTCCTCTACCATAACACGAATCATTTGAGATAATTCTTTACTATGATAAAACTCTCCCTGTCATCCAATCTATTTGTTAATAAGTAACACTTTGAAAACAAGATGTCCTTCAGAGAGAGAGCTCTATCTTTGTGGCATTTCATAATTAAGTTGGAGACGCATTATTATACAAGTTTGGATCAGTTTATCAGTTCCATCAACATCAATTTTGCTCTTACTTTGTTAAATAATCCACACATTTTTGTTGGAATGGTTTTCTTTGGTGAGAATAGTTTCTCTATTTTTCTTGGACAGTTTGTGATTGCTTAATTGTACTATTTGCCCAACGCAACGGCTACCTCTCACTCAGGAAGTATTTCCCTTGCTCTAGGTCTGTCCCTGTTGTTTTTCTCATTAACCTTTTGGAAATTCATAAGATATTCCTGTAGATAGCTTATTCTATTCTACTTATTATGAACAGAAAGCAATGTAAACTGTGATCAAACACAGTCTCTTGGAAATACTAACCTGCTGACAGTTCATCTTCCAAATTTGCTAATTTAGATTCTTCACAAAGATAAGTGCACTTAAGAAAATATTTACACTTTTCCATATTCTCATTTGGAATTTATTTATAATGAAACTACACACTATTACACTGGATATTTATTTTTTATTCTCTTTCTCTAATTATATTCTTTGTTAGATATTAGTTATCATGAGAATTTAACTAACTATGGAGGGTTGATTTATTTTTAGCTGTTCTCAAAATTATAATCTCTCTCCTTGCTTTTAATTATATCCTTCATATTGCTAATAAAGATAATTTTTGAAATAATAAAAAAACTATTCATGTAGTTTTCTTGGTTAAAATATTCTAATATTTTCCAACTGCTAGTTGACTAAGTGTCAAACTCCTCGTCATAGCGTAAATTATTTTCACAGTATGTGTCCAATGTTCTCTTTCAGCCCTGGTTTCTCTCACAAAAATCTCAGGCAGAATTGCATTCTCATGTGTTTTCCCATGTCTTTAAGCTACATGTTTACTGTACTGCAAATCCCTGTTTAATGTTATCATGACAACTTGCCAGCTATCTCTGTTGTTCTCTTGTAATTATTTGCAAAAGCTCATTACATTACATTTTCTCATCTTTGCCTTCCCTTTAGCTTGAGTAGATACCGGTAAAGGTAAAGAGTGGCGATAGATTGAATGCTTTTCCCCCAAGATCAGATACAAGGCGAGGATGTCTACTCTCAACGATCTTCTTTAGTATTAAACTAGTAACCAGTGAAATACGGTAGGAAGCCAAATTTAAAACTTACAGCACAGAAAGGAAGAAATAAAAGCCTCTATTGCAGATGACACGATTGTCTATGTAGAAAATCTCATAGTATCTAAAAAAAGAGCACTAAAATTGATAAATACATTACAAAGAATCAAAGTTGTCATGCTTTCAAAAGCTGTAACTCTATGGTTGTTTAACTATTTTGACAAATAGTACCTTTCTTCGAACTTTGGGGTATCTTAGGAGTCACATAGCTCATGTCCATAAATATTGGTGAACTAAACAGATTATGTCCCGAATGGGCTGTACTCCATTAGAGACAGGTCATATTTTAACCCTTTTCACTGTAGTTAAGTCTTTCAGGGTCATATTTTAAACATATGGGAAAACCTATAAATCAAATCCAAAGAAATGAAAACACAAATGTAATAAAAAGTATTTGTTTTTATTTTCCAGTATGCTTCATTAAAAAAGGTACAGTTTTATTAGTAGTACATTAATGAACTGAAAGAACAAAGTGACAAGTTTTTGTCACAGATATTAATTTACATTTTCCAAACATCCAACAAAACAATTAAAAATGAAATAAATATATTTACATTTTATATTTCTGGTATTTTCATTGCTTTTTAATATGTATAAAATATATAACATTTATAATATTTTATTTTCAAAAACAAATTCAAATGTGCAAATAAGTGACATGATTTTTAAGTATTCAGTAATGAGAATAAATCATAAACAAAACATTTAGAGGTCTGAATAAAGCAACCTTAAGGAGAACTCATGAGCACAGCAGTATTAATACTAGCAAAATGTTTGTTATTAATATCCAAACATCTGCACTTACCTTAAAAAGTTAAGCACAAGATCATCCTTGTGCTTTTAAAGCTTCTCCACACTGCTGCCTTCTAGCAGTAATTCTAAATTATTGTTACGATCATTACTTTTCCTCAGTGATAAATCAAACTTCTCGCAAATCCAGCATTCAATGTACACAAGGTTTATGAACAAGCCCTGTCATTGTAAATGAGGGAAAAGTCGATCTATAAACTAGTGCACCCAAAGGAAAATTTATCTGCTTGCATGGCTAATATGGACTTGAAATTTATTTTCAAGAAATTGCTTTTTTTCTTGCTGAATGACAGTTTTACGAATGAAGGTTTTAAAACTGTAAGTTGGTACATGCCTGAAATATGGGCAAGACCTGATTACCTGATTATTCTCCTTTAAAAAAAAGTTGGACAGTAAGCGTTGGGGTACAAATTACATTTACATTATCTATTAAAGTATTTTTTGAAATAAATTCTTGTTGCAATATAACGAATTAAAAATGCCCTTGCTGTAATATACTTCGGCTTAAATGAATTGTTATTCTTTATCAGGCAAAAGACATTATTATAGTAGTTAACAGTTTTCAAATGATTTTGAACTCCGTTCTCTGACCTAAATACCTAAAATATTCCCCGTTAAGCTTGCAATATGTACAGTGTAATGAACCCTTTAATGACAACACACACACACAAACACGCGCGCGCACACACACACACACACACACATCCCAAGGCACTGGAAGGGTTAACACATTAATTAAGCATTTTGCTGTTAAAATGTGTTCAATGTACAAACTAGGATTTGATAAATAAATCTCATGCATCTAAACCTAAATTACATGAGAAATAGAAATTTATAAGTATTTTTGTTTTTTTCTAAACTTTCTCATTCAAGTAATCCAAGTTGTGACAAATAACAATGGCTAATCATCACATTGTAAAGAAAACATTAGAAACTATTAATAATTGCTAAACTGATGAAAATCAGAAGAGTGTTTTCCTAATTGATTGCTGTTCCACTAATCATGTTAAATAGCAGTTTAGGCCTGTTGGTGTTTTTATCAGTAGTATCAAAAATAATCACATAAGTTATAATCAAGCTATAATTTATGATGTAAAGTATATTAAATGTATGTAAATGCAACTTATTCTTTTATTATAATTAATAGTCAGCATTTTATTATACTTATATATACACATATATATACATGTGTATATATAAGTATAATATATACTTATATCTCTCAACAAGGAGAGATATATTCATACATATCTCATTGTTAACCTTTTCCTTCATTATACATATGAGCACAGGCTAAATTTTTATGATATAACTGATGTAACAAAATGGATATTTAAGCAAATTGGACTTTTAAATTTTAAGACAGAATTTTTACATTGGATATTAATTTTTTAAATGATTCTATTACAGGTACATAAAGTTTTAAAACTATTTTTTTGTTGTTTTGCTCTGTTTTTGTTGTTGGATAACTAGCCTATGTCATACTGCCTTCAAACCAGATTATCACCTTGTGGGCACACTGATGTCACCCCAATATGGGGCACAATGAGATTTAATTATAATTAATAGCAGAGATTCTGTAATGAATGCCTACCACTGCTTTCTGTCCCAAGGTGGACATATCCCACTCCCTTTATTGCTCTTTCTCTGTAAGTTCACAAGTGCACTGTGAAACCTGCTTTGGTGGGCTTCTGATTTTACAACGACTTTTGCGTTTGATCAACACACTGAGCAATAATTCCAATGCGCTATCCTAACCACAGATGCATATTTAGTTTTATGGTCAAAATAAATTATATTGAAACTGTTTATTGTCCGATTCGCCAGTTCTTTTGAGAAGGTATCTCATATTCAACTTAACACTTTCCCACGTAAATTATAAACCTTCACCTTTTCTTTTCAATTTGATGTATTTAAGGATTAATCTGATGCAAAATGAATTAATAATTGTAATAATTATGAAAAAAGTTTGATGTTAATTTTTAAAAATTAGTAATATGTTCTTTATATAAATAATTTTGTTTCCCTCTTGAATGACTTTTTTCTCTTATTTGAAAAAAGAAAATTGAATCACTTTATTAGATACTTGGTCATCTTTACAAGGAATCCTCTAATGTTTTGGTTTAGTTGGGAGCATGTGTGTCAATAAAAAAGTAAGTTTTTTTTTTTTTTTTTCTATTCTAATAGGCAGCTGGCTGGTTAAAAGCAGATCTCAGTAAAGCTGTAGTGAGAGAGAAGGTTTTCCATGCTATACATATCGTTACATAATATCTGGAATCTGAGTCATGTGCCCACCACCAATGCTTTCCAATGTCCAGCACTGGAACACGCCCAAGAGAAGACATCCAAAATAACCTGCATAGTTTGGCATTATTTAATCACTTTCCATAACAAGGTAAGATATAGATTTTAACCTTTATTTTCAAATATCACCTTAACTCCTCATAAAATATTACTAAAATGAAAAGATGTCCTTTAGATAACATAAATAATAACTTTGAGACTGCTTTCTAGTGACATTTCAGTTCACAATTAACTGGCAGAATTAGAATTACAAAGATTTTTTTCTCACAACATATTTGTTGATACTATTTTCTCTACAAAATTTTTTGGGGTCACTGAAAATTTATGAAACTTTAAATTGATAATAAATCTCCTTAGGTAAAATATAAATCTTTTTAAAATGAAGGAAGCAACAAGAGGTTCAGGAATGGTTCCATCACATATAATTAAATTAAAACATTTCTGGCAGCTAATAAAACATTTCAGTGACTGCGATCCCAGGGACAATAGTCCATTTCACCGTGTGTCTACCATAGCTCCACATAACTATCCTCTGAAGCTTTTCAGGATATTTTACAACGAGATAACAAAATTGGAGTGCCAGTGTCAAGTCACGGGATGAGAATACAAGGAGAAGTTTACAGCAGCACATTAAAGTGCATTCTTCTTTGACGAGTGCTTTGCATGCGCCTGGCTGCCGTGTGGGGCTTTCTTGCCTCTCCTACGTCCCTCATAGTACAATGATAGGGCAATAGCTCATGGTCCTGCCCAGCATGTATCTGTCATACAAAATAATCTAAAATACAGAAGTAACCATTTAATAGGCATTTTTATTTATAGGTAGCTTACAATTTTTATATTATTTACATACTTCACGTCTTTCATTCTTTGTCTCCACTTTGGGGACAAGCAGGGTACGTGCTGGCACAAAGCAATCGAGTGAGAACAAGCTGTTCTGTTCGTTTAGGATGATTCACAGATGCCTTGCAGAAGAGAAGTGTTTTGAGGTGTCACACGACCTTCTTTTTTCTGCTGAAACTTTAATCTGACTCCACTGTTGACTTGGTAATATCGTGGTTCCCCAGGGTCTAAAATGAGAAATATATTCTGTTTACACAGTCACGGTGCACAATGCGGAGCTCCGTATGTCAAGTTGTGTACTTTGCTTTGCTCATAGTAGCAGCAGAGCCTGTAGCTGCAGAAGCTGTAGCCTGATTGCCTAAAAACAGAGGGTCCAAACAAGCCACTTTGGCAGCAAAGAATGAATGAATGCAGTGAAGAACAGCAAATAAATTTGAAAATTCCAATTCCTGAAAGGGAAAGAGAAAGAAGTCAGATAAAATACAAATCACTTTCTTAAAAATATGATAATAACTGGACACTTTTTTCAGGTGAAAGAAATTTATCTAGAATTAATGGTATCTAATGTATGGAAACTAATTTCTAATGTAGACATTTTTGGTGAACGTGTACAAGTCATAGATATGGCAGGTTTACTTCAGAACATGGTGGACAAGAGGGAGGACTATTCATTCTTGTCATCTGTGCACGTCCCTCCAGCATGGAAAAAATAAATTTGGCCAGACTGCACCTTCACTCTTAACAATGCATCAGTAAAGAGAAACTTGAGAGTACCTTAAAGAGCACTTTCATCTCTTTATACACACATCAGATAATAAATATGAATTAGAATAATCAAAACATATTCTTTGCTATTCTTTAGAATGAGTCGCTATTTATCTGTCATTGGATCCTAAGGGCAAAGTGCTAAAGGCAAGGGGCTGTGAACGTTTGTGACGCAGGGAGCCGAATGGTTTGCTTCCAAAAAATAACTCATGCATTAGTTTTCATTGTTGTGGCTGCTTATTTAATGGCGTGTATGGAGTATTTACTAAAAGAAAATAAAAATCAATGAGAGCCCACTAATTCATTTTGGATTTTTAAGTAAGTAACCTACTTACCAGTGTCAACCCGATGATATATATTGCAATGAAATAGAGAAAAGTTTTTCACAAATGATGTCAGACTAGCTATAAAGTCATGAGGCAATGATCAGGACAGATTTTGAAAGATGATGCTGCAAATATTTTTTATAAAAGACCATCATTGGGCCCCAAATCATGTTTTAACTCCAAGAGAACTGAGAGAAGACTAATGCGTTTATGTAGTTAATGAAGTAAATATGATGAACCTATCATAAAGAGGAAAACTCAAGGGTAATAGATCATAGGAAATTGCTGAGAAACTAGTTGTTATTTTATTACATATCTGTAATAAAGGATGAGTAGGATGACATGCACGCTATTGATAGCATTTGTAATTTATAGCATGTGGCTACGGAAAATATCCAAGCAGTTAGGGCACATTACAATATCTGTCATGTACCAGGGTGCTATTTAAGTGAAGTAATTCACCCAGGAGTATTTTCCTAGGTCATGAAATCGGAGCACAATAGAACAAAACTTATATTCATGGTTCCTTACAATATAAAAGAAATAGCTATGTGGTCTCAGTAGTTCCCTTCCAACTTTCAACATTTCATAGTTAGCTTCCTGTGGCAAACACTTACTCTAGAAACTAGCAAAAGCTATTCATTGGCCAGGTGTGGTGGCTCACGCCTGTAATCCTAGCACTCTGGGAGGCCGAGGAGGGAGGATGGTTTGAGCTCAGGAGTTCGAGACCAGCCTGAGTAAGAGCGAGACCCCGTCTCTACTAAAAACAGAAAAAAATTAGCCGGACAACTAAAAATATATATAGAAAAAATTAGCCGGGCACGGTGGTGCATGCCTGTAGTCCCAGCTACTCAGGAGGCTGAGGCAGGAAGATCGCTTGAGCCTAGGGGTTTGAGGTTGCTGTGAGCTAGGCTGACGCCACAGCGCTCTAGCCCGGGCAACAGAGCAAGGCTTTGTGTCAAAAAAAAAAAAAAAAAAAGCTATTCACTGAACCATTTTAATTCCCTGAAATGCTTCCACCAAAAATGTTGTTAGTAACTCCATCATAATTACCTTAGGAGCTTTATTTTTAATAATCCACTTCTGCAGCACTAGTGATATGTTATTCGTAAAGTAGCAGTTGTTCCCTTGCCTTAACTTACCCTGAAAATCTTCCATCCATCCCTTCATTCTTTGTGCAGCCAGCTAATTTTCCACGAGGATTTTAAATACTTTCTGTATCAATCCATGTTAAATCTACCCAATATGAAAAGGGTTGGAAAATCTGGGGAAATATGAGCTTATTCTGTGTATTATTAAAAAACAACCATAGAAACATGCAGTTCACTCTTGGTGAGGAGGAGAATGTAGCTGAATGTTACAACTAGGCAAAAGTAGTATACCAAATAACTTTTTGTCAAAAATAATTCTATGAAATCCTTATTAAATTGGAGATAAGATTTTGGTTAATAAGAAAAATAAAACAAATATAGAAATACCCAGGCAGTTTTAGAAAGATAAAGGTTTTCGATTATTCCCAATTAGTAAATTATTTGGCAATAATTTGATGTAAATTGATGCTTTAAAATATTTACACCTGTTTCTGTGGGAGCAGACAGACAATAATAACAACAGGTAATTAGGAAAGAAAGTAGAAGAGATGGAAGAGAGTAGAAGAGAGTAGTAGAGATGGATTTGAGTTTGGCTCTTGATTCCAGTGTCATCTCGTCTTTCCTCTGCCTCAGCGTCCGCCTTGCAATCATGCCCACTCCTAGGGCTTCGAGGGTCCCTTCCACGTCCCTGTGCTGCCCCTTCCCTCCTTCCCCAGGTGAGCCCTAGACCTACGCTCTCAGCCCCTTGTCAAACATCCACAGACAACGTCTGCCGAGCTAGCGATTATCACCTTGTGGTAAAGCTCTTCTGATCTTCATTAATCCCATGAATCTCACTAAATATAAGCTATTTTCAAAATTTAAGAATATTCGTTCAATAAATACTGAGTGTTTCCTACACACTTATTCCTTTTTTGGGGGGGGCGGGGGCGGAGCGGCAAAAAGACAGCAATGAACAAAACAGATTTAAAAAAAAAAGTCCTGATGGGATTTACAGTCCAGTGACAGGAGACAACATATAAAGGCATAAATAAATTAAACATTCCAGGATATGAAAAGTACAGTGAAGAAAATAAATTGGAGAAGAAAGCAGAGTATGGGTAGGGTTGTGGGACAGAAAACTTCTCATTGCCATATGTCCCCTTGAAGGGGACAAAGGAGTGGATCATTTCCACTTTTGCGGGAAAATATTCCAGACAGAAGAAGTGCAATGTCAAAGGCCCTGAGGTAGTGGCAGTCTAAGAGAGTGTGAGGAAAAGTAAAGGCCTTTGTCTCTGGAATGGAGTGAATTATGGGGTGATTAGTAGAAAATGGGGTCAAAGAAATAAACACAGGCCAGAACTTGCCTTTCCACATGGTCTCTTTATGAGTTTACTTTGAGTGACTTGGGAAACCACTGGAGGTTTTTTGATCAGAGAAGTGACAAGAATTGACATATGTCTGACACTGGCCATTTTGGCTAGACTGTGAAGAAAGAGCTCTAAGGGAATGCCACTGAAAGATGGGAGAGACATTATAATGTTTTTCCATAAGAAAAGGGGTCAGATTTAAAAGTTAAGTTGAAGAACTAGAAGGAGAGAGTCGCCATGTCTAGAAAAGGAGGAATTGGCATTAAATATCAAGATTTTGGTTTTGGGTATGTTACAATGAGAGCCTATTAGATATGCTCATCAAGGGGCAAGTAGAGAGTTGTATATATCAGTGTGATTTAAGGGAAAAACCAGAGTTGAAAATAAAAGTTATGCTCTGTGAGCATCCAGATGCCCTGGGTCTGGAAGGTTTGCAGGTAGAGAAAAGGCTGGGCTGCCATTCCTGTGAGCAACAGTGTAGCAAGTTCAGGGAGCAAGAAGCAGCAGCATAGAAGAAAGAGCATAGTTGCCACAGAAGCGAGAGAGAAAACCAGAGAGTCTTGCAAAATGAAAACTGGAAATTGACTATTGGATGCACATAGACGTTATTTTTATCCTTTATAAGAGACTTCTGTGAAGAGGGGGCACAAGACTCTTAGGAATGCGTTCATGAGAGATTGGGTGGAAAGGAATTGGCGTTACTGTAGGCAACTTCTCTTTGGAGAAGTCGTTTTTTTCCCCCCTTAAATGGAGCAGAGAAATGGATAAGTAGATAAAACCGGTAATGTTTTTCTAAGGTTTAAGCAATTAGTATATATTTGTAGAATTGCTGGTATGAAGACAGTAGAGGGCTCACATCTGAGGACAGTTGTAGAAACCTACTGAGCAGAAGAGAAGGGTGGGAGTTAGTGCAGACGTGGGAGGCTGGGCTCGGACAGAAACCTGCAGAATGGTCCAGAGTGGCAGGAGGAGGGGCAGCGTTCATCGGCACAACGCCAGGACAGTGGGTAGATTTGGTGGTGTGCAGCTTTGCTTAATTCTGCCTTTTAGGTGAAATAAGAAGGAAGGTCATTGACTGACAGGAAGGATAAAGCAGGAAGTGTTGAAAATTTGGACAAAGTGCTAAATAATTTTTGAGTATTATTTTAGGCACTTATCTGGAATTTATTTTCTTCACTCTGCTTAGTCCTTAGAAACTTTTAACGGCTCTCTAAGTCTACGGAACACATGATGGAGAGTATCATTCTGTGGGCCCCATAAAGTCATCTATATTTCATACCTGTTTTCCCACAGCAACATGATCATGCAATACTCAATAGATCATTACAAGAGCAACAGTCTTCTAGAATGTGAAAACAAAAGAATTATTGAAAATCTTAGGAAAAAATACATTTTATAAATTCTTCGGCTAATAGCACTATTGTGTTTCCATTCTTGCTCTTGATTTCAGGATTTTCCCTTCCCTATGATGGGCCTCTCTTTCGTTTCCACTGTAACTCTCATTCTTTCTTCAAGGCTAAATTTAACTCCAATATTCTTCATGACCTCGCAGTCATCAGGTAAAAAACATGCCTCTCTGCCATTATTAATATAAGGCTTCTTTCTTCCAAATGCCATTAGTCACAGTCAGCTTTACTTATGCCATTAATGTATAAGTGAATGTGTTCCCTAGCTTGACAACCCCTTTATGTGCCATTCACCTTTTTCCCACAGCAGCCTTATGGAGATATAATGCACCTGTGTAAAGCACACAATTCAGTGTATCTCAGTATACTCACAGATGGTGTGTAACGGTAACCATTATCAAATTTTAGAACATTTGTATCATTCCAAAAATATACCTTATACCCAGTACAAGTCACTCTCGTTTCCCTGTCTCCAGGTCCTGGTAAGCATTAGTCTCTTTCTCTTTGTATAG